AGTGCACACCAATAAATCAAGGGCCGAGAATTAAGCAATCCAGTGACACAATTCATGTCACATCATTTAAAAACTTTAGACCAAGATGTCTGAAGTGTCTCATTATTATTAATATTATTAATACTACTACATGAACAATTTCTGGTACCAGTTATATTAAATAAATGTATGTTACAAACTGAGACACTGATAGTAAAGTCTCCATTTGAAGCTCATCGTACCTGTGGCTGTCAGCACTGCAGACTGGGAGGTGCTCAGTTTATCTGCTGGTCGAGTCATATCAGCCAAACCAGCTACAACCAGACCCTGTAGAGGAGAACAGGTCACGTTCTGCGCATCAAACCTGTGTGGATGATCTTACTGTATTTACTGTACGTTCAACTGATCAACTTGATCTAATAAGTCTAATAATTACACAGCAGTGACAGGTTAAGCCCTTTGTCTATGGCAATGGTTCCCAACCTCAGCACCCCGTACCCCAGAAGGAGTCGCAAGATGATTAAAGTTGGGGGAAAACGATTCTGGGTAATACCATTTTAATTGTTTTAATTTGTTCAAGAGCCAAAGAGGGTTGGAACCACTGGTTTACAGTATACTTACACATATTAAAGTTACACTGTGTAGAAATGCACTCACCCATTTAAACACTGGGGCCCAGAAGAAAACTGTTTTTGGACCTGAAATAAAAACAGAAGAGAAGAGAAACGACATGTTGATGTCATGTTCTAACAGTGGATATTACATGATTTATTTAATAATGTTTTCCAACCAAATGTATGTAAACTGGTTTCATCCACTACCGTTATGTGATTATTAATAGTTGGTTTTATCGAGATTAGCAGTAACAGCGGAAACAGGATGGAAGTATGACATTTGTTTGTTTAAAGTATTAATGTGAGGAAGGTTACAGCTGATCTGTGCGGAGCTATGATGGAGGTACTACAGAGCAATGAGGAGACTGTTGGACGCAAACAGCTGATCAGTCATGTCTGATGTTACGCTTATTCAGAACTTATTCTTTTTTCATCTCCGCATCCACTCTTTTTCAAACAAGGCAAAAACAGCTGCATGTTAGCACAGAAACTTTTGTCGTTTCCAACTTTTTCCCATCAACCTGTTCTAGTGCGGTACTTCCACACGCGCGTATAAATGCACTGATGGAAACGTGGCTGTATTTTGACAGTTTTCTCTCTGAGGTAACTGTCAGCTGGGCGTAAAGCTGAAACCTAATTCCAGACAGTCAAGCTGGAGGAGCCGGTGAACAGATGCTTGAATACAGTCATAACACACTGGAAACAGACTCTAAACTTCATTAGCTCCATATGGTTGGTTTTAAAACAAGAACGCAGGAAACATAAGAAGCTGCTGGTCTGGAATCTGTCCTTAATTAAGGACATTCTTCAGATATTGAAAAAACATTAAACCTGTCAAACTAAAACTTAAATAACTCATTTTAGCTAGTTTTTAGTCACTCAAGAAAAAAGATTTGAAGACGCCATCATGAGCATTTTTCAGTCTTTTTGGGGCATTTTGCTTTATTTAGGATAGTGACAGTAGAGAGAGAGAGGGAAGGCTGGGAGAGCGAGGGCCTGCAGTAAGGACTCAGCGGTGATCTGTGGCACGCACTCATTATGGCATAATCAATCCATTAATTAAGAAAATTGATCATGAAAATAATTGCTGGTCCCAGCCATACAGAAATGAATACTGGCTTTAGGACAACAACACTAAAGATGACAACATCAGGGGCATACCTTAACGCTGAACATCATAAAGTTTGTTGTGAAACTTTGCAGTTTAACTAAGTATATTACACCAGAAGACAGCTCATCTTCCTACGGGGCTTCTGGAAATCGTGAAAGGATCTGACCCTAAAACCAGACCGTCCGGCTTGTGACATACACTCGAATGCTGCAGGCTAAACAGGAAGGTGAGCCTGCCAATCATTGTTGAGGGAGTTGGCTTTTGTCACCTCCCCTTCATACCTGGTCAGAAAGTTGTCCTTGACAGCCAGAGCTCCAGTACCCTTACACAGACAAAACAAAGAGCAGACTGTCCCCAGTGACGCCAGAGAGTCCTTAATCTCAGTCCCCTCTAGTTAATATCAGAGTCAAAGAGAGCTGAATGTGCGTGCAGGTTGTACTCACTGAACAGATGAGACATGTTGAAAAGTTATACAGTCTAATGCAATAAACCCGACCTCCTACCGGTTCGGAGGGTGTCACTTGTGGTGCTGTTAAATTGTACTGGATTAAACAGGCAGGTGTTTCTACTATATTTAGTCTGCCCTCCTTTTTAGAAAGTGAGTTGACAAAATATACCTTCATGAAGGTAGGGTTTGTCCCACCGCACTGGGCTGAGCTACTTGGACCTAATAAACCAGCTCAGAGTGGGAGTTACTTAAACGTTCAACCTTCCTCCACAAGATCTAGATAAGTTAAGAAAAATCTATAACTCGTCGTTACAGCTTAAACAATAAGTTGATTAAGACAGAAATGTATTCAGCAACAATTTTGTTTGTTCGTTTAAACAAGCAAAAATGTGAAATATTTGTTTTTTCAGCATACTTTTCTTTTTTTTAATTTTAAATAGAGAAATAGACATTTGTAGAGGCCACCTTTGGCGTCCAGTACTTCTTTTAACATTTCATATGTTTAACAAATGGCTGAAACTGAAGTGCATTTAGATTTTGTATAACTCCTCTCAAGCCCTGAACTGAACCAAAATAAAACTTGTGCAAACTTTCCCTGTCATAAACTCAGCTCTGAGCTGCTTAGCTTGTGTTATCCCAGCAGATTACAGTCTCCCAGAGCAACACTGACACACACAGCTCAGACATTCAGACCCTCTGGTCTACAGGACAAGTGCACCCACATCACTTTACCACGAATAACAGCTGGACGCACACAGAGACACAGACACAACACAGAGACACAGCACAGAGACA